GCTGTGGCTGCCCCGGGATCCCTGGCAGTGTTCAAGGCCAGGTTGGATGGGGCTTTGGGCAACCTGGTCTAGTGGAGGGTTTGGGCCTGGCCATGGCCGGGGAGTTGGAACTGCATGATCTTTAAGGTCCCTTCCAACCCAAACCAGTCTGTGATTCCATGATTCTATAAATGCTCAAGGTGTAAAGAAACCAAGTGGGGAAGGAATGTGAGTTATCAATTCCATCAGGTATAGACAAGTCCCACCCTGGAGCCTTTCAGGCTGCAAGTGATGGACTGAGACCTTGTTTCAGAGGAAGTATTAAGTAGAATAGACTTAAACAAGTGCCAGGTAAATCAGCAATAAATATTTCACTTCAAAATTCTACAGGAATTAAAATACAAAGTCACAGAACTGCCTACTATGATCTGTTAAATCACCCTCAGGGATAGGAAGACTGACAGGCAGTCATCATGCCTTTCTAAAAGCCTCCCAGGAGGACTTGGGAAGCCTCAAAGAGTCATCCTAGTACTCAGCAAATTTTTATAAGTGTTAGTAAAGACCAGAGTTAGTAGTTATTAAACAGGACGCACTGGAGAAGAGCCCTGTACAGCTTTTAGGAAGACATAAGGATGTGTGGCCTTAAACATATTCCTAATTCATTCCTTAGAAGAAAGAATTAAAAGTTTGCTCATAATCTGGAGTCATTTGGGAGTCTAAACTATGAGGACACCTAGAAACACCACAGATGAAGAAGGCCTAGAAGATTAACATTCTGAAATGACCCCAAGATCTATTATACAAGTGGTAATACCTAATTTAGAGCTCTCATCTTGCTAGGAAAGGAGCAGAGAAAGGACAGCAAATATCTAAACCCATCCTGTGCTCACACCTTCAATGTGATGTGCGTCTCTGCCCATTCCACCTCCACAGGAGCTAAGAAAGGCAAAGGGGTGGACAGCAAGCATGAACGAAAGTTTCAGTAAAAGGAGGCTAAGTGGACTTAGATCCCCGATCCTGGAGAGGTGAAAAGAGGACAATTATTCCCAGTTTCCCATAATGTAAAAGCTAACGGGCACCTATTAGAAGCTGGTTTAAAACCAGACAGAATGCTTTCTTCATATGGTTCACAGTTAAATTACGGATTGATTGCTGTGGGATGCTGTGAAGCCAGAATTATACACAGGGTAACAAAAGAGATTAGGTTGTCCTAGTCAGATCATCTGGATACAAATTCCAGCCTAAGAAGTTCCTAAACTGTTGATGGCCGGGAGCTTGGAAGGAAAAGCAGAAGGCAGCATACTCTCATCTGGGTGTGCTCCTTACACCCTGTGACTGAGCATCCACTAATAGCTGCTATTCAAGACAGACACCTGAATAAAGAGAGTTTTCATCTGTCCTGGTATAATTATGCCGATGTTCTAACGTCATGAAGTCAGCTACTGGAACAAGCTGTCACGCAGTTCTGCATTTACCATCGTTGTGTTATGGGCAGGTACCAACGAAGTGCGGGCATCGCCTGCCAACACTGCGTCCCAGTTTACTGCTCTCTGAAACAGTGATGAAGGAGACCTGATAATATAGAGAGATACAGAAAGCAAAATAAAAATCCTGTTAGGATTTAGGGCCTCTGATGCTGCTTTCACTCATGAAAGCTCTGTTTTTTCCGAAGACTGTGAAACTCCACCCAAAACAGCAGTACCATGACAAGGCACATCTTAGCCTATGTGAAAGTAACACTCCAGGGAACTAAACCTTCAGAAGGACATTCTCCAAAATCCCAAAGGAAGAAAATCAGGGAAACAGCCATTTTTCCCAGGGGCGCTGCCAGGCAGGGAGCAACCACTCTCAGCTGAGAGCTGCAGTTGTGCCAAGACTCACGCTGGGAGCTAGGTGCACCGGGCTGGTTTTCTCTCCCTTGGCATCCACGCACACATGGGTTCAATGCCATGTCCCCTCTCTATCTCAGGACGTTAGCATTTTGGTCTTCTGTGCATGGGACCAGGGTCACAGACCATTCAGTCTTCAGAAATGCCCCACCAGAAGCCTTGTCCTTCTCTCCAGCCCGTTTGCCCTCCACTAAACCTCGTGCAGGATGCGTGTCCCTTGCCACGGAACCCAGCGAGCCACCTCTCACGCAACCGCACACAGAGAATAAGGTTGAGAGGCATCTAGCTGAGTCCTGAGACATGGCACCATGTCCCAAATGCAATCAACACACTGAGAGCCATAGATGGATCCACAAGTCCATACAACAGTGCAGAAAAATCTCATGTGCTTAACTGAACTTTTCTTGTTAGCGTAATTAGCAAACTGATGAGAAGCACTTGAAATTCCTTATTAACTCTTATCAGGTTTGCCAGACAAAGTGGGGAACCACATCCCATCCTTTGAACCCCTCGTTAGGCAGCACTAGCTGTATTTCATGTTGGATGGTGGCTCCAGTTACCCACCCTGCTCATCCCAGACCGCCTGCAGAACTGCTTTAACCAGCCAGGCAGCTTTAGGAGGGAGAGGCGGTATCTGCTATTAGACCAGAGATTAAATATTTTATTAGAACAGAGGATCTTTCTTTTCTTAGACCCACTGATGACACAAAGGGAAAAACACTTCTTCCAGCCCACGTCTTCTTCTGTAGGAGGAAAACAGAACCAGCGAACTTGGCTTGAAGTGCAGGTTGGAAGCAGTGGAAGTCTGGTGTGTTACTCCAGGGGCTTGAGAGAAAAAGCAGTGAGGGATATACACAAAAGGGACAATAATAATCTAACTCTGTAAGAGAGAAAAAGAAATGAGTGTCACTTTGACAGACTGAAGGATTAGTCCAAGGGAGGAATTTTCTAATTGTGAATTGTCTCCCCGAAGGTAATGGCCCTTCCGAGCTGGCAAAGTTTCGCACTGCCCAGAGGCTGTTTCTGCACTATTACGAGGGCAGCTTGCTCGTCCTAACACCACTTAACCCTGTTGTGGCATTGTTAAGGAGCTGGAAATTATGGCGGGTGCATTTTGCAACCCTTGTCACGCCTGTTAATGACCCCTTTGGCAGCAGCACCTGTTTCCTTTGGCTGCGCTACGCTGCAGCGCCTGCTGCTTTAAAAGGGAGCGGGCAGGAAAAGGCTTATCTGTCCTGTGGGAGGGGGGGAAAAAAAAGATGTGTCTGAGGTGTTTAAGGAGAGGAAGGGGAGAGCAGGAGAGGAGCCCTCGCCAGGGAGATGGAGGCTGCTGGGATGATCGTGCTGCAGGCAGGCAGCCAGCCTGGGGTGATGGATGGAAAGGTCCCTCTTGGCCCGGGGGTATCGCGGGGAGAGGACGCAGCTCATAACGATGCTGAGTTGCTGGACTAAGAAAAAAGTCCAAAGAAGGATCCTATCTGCAAACACATGGTAAAGAGGAGATACATAAGAAAGCCTTCTCTAACTGGTTTGCTTTATTTCAAGTTTTCTCCCGTTGAATGTATTTCTTGTTCTAGTTTCTGTCCCAACCAAACCTGGGGTTTATAAAGTCCTTGAGGTGTTTCTGGTATGTTCTGATGTGGCGGCAGCTGCCATAGCACCACAAGCAGCCTAAAGAGTCTCCAGGCAAATGAACATCAAAATGAACAGACCCAGAGCTACTAAGTTTGTGTTTATACTTCAATACATTCTGTAGTATGTAAAAGTTTTTCTCATTCAATCTGTGAATGAACCCCCAAAAAGGACTCATCTGTCAGGTTTAGTTTAAAATTTTGTCAAAGAGGTTTTGCTAAAAGCTTCCTGGGAAAAAAGGCAACTAAAGTAAGCTTAAGTCACGGTGGAACATCTGTCCCCAAAAGGGATTGCACTGGAAAGGACAGTTTGGCATGCTGCTTTGACCTGGTTGCCACCAGGATATCTTTTCAATAGAACAAGGAGGTTGTCTCACAGCCTCGTATCAGAAGAGGCAAAGAAATATTATAATTGTTTTCAGCCTGGAGAAAAGGCAGCTCTGGGGAGATCTAATTGCAGCCTTCCAGTACCTGAAGGGGCCTACAGGAAAGATGGAGAGGGACTGTTTATCAGGGAGTGTAGTGACAGGACAAGGGGTAAGGGGTTTAAACTAAAAGAGGGTCGATTTAGATTAGATGTTAGAAAGAAATTCTTTACTCTTAGAGTGGTGAGGCCCTGGCACAGGTTGCCCAGAGAAGCTGTGGATGCCCCTGGCTCCCTGGCAGTGTTCAAGGCCAGGTTGGATGGGGCTTTGGGCAACCTGGTCTAGTGGAGGGTGTCCCTGCCCGTGGCAGGGGGGTTGGAACTGCATGATGTTTAAGGTCCCTTCCAACCCAAACCATTCTGTGATTCTATGAGGCTTGATCGGTTAATTTCAAGGACTATATGGCATGGTTTCTGAAATAGGAGGAGAATGGACTGGGATGAGTTTTCTTCCAGTCCTACATATGTGCCTTAAGATGAATGAACAAATAACTGACCGTGGTACGCAGAGATGAAAGACACAGGAACGACGTAGCAATATAAGGTTGAAACCGGCCTGTTAAGCTCAAAGCAGCCAAGGAACTCCAGATCGTACACACGAGCTTACTCTACAGTGCACCCAATGTGCTTTAATACAAGACTGACAGCTCTTGATGTTCTTACACCTCATACCTCTAGCTGATTATACCTGAACACTTGCTTTCACTTAACACCAGGAGTTTAACAACCATGGCTGCAAAGAAGTACTTACAAATATGAAATCTAATAGTTCAAAATGAGAAAGAAAATTGTAAACATCCAGTAATTATTAATATTTTGTTTCAAATTTCAGGATGTTACAGTGCTTTCGCTTTTAGCTAGTTTTTGCAAGTAGTGGGCAGTATTGAACATTTGAAGCTGACTATATTGCATCAGTAGCAGGCGAAATCATCACTGAATGAAAATGGGAAGATGGGGTTTATGCCAGTTAGTATTAGCTGCCAGTTAGTATTAAGCATCGAATCTAAATTAATCATTTAGGCTCTAGCAGACAGACATAGAAAGGCATGTCCAGAGGGTAAATTTTCACACCCATCTTTCTTTGGTAAGTTTTTTAGGATGAAGTTGCCTGCCAAGCATGCCTGTGTCTCTCTTGAATGTTGAGGGACACCAGCTGGTACTCAGAAATCTTGCCTAACTTTAGGCACACAAATGGTCTCCTAGTCCCAGTGCCTGGCACAGGGCTTTCCACATTATCTGAAACCAAGATTAACACCTAGCCAGACTGCACAAGCAAAACAGCAGAGGTGCTGGGTCCAAACAGGATAATCACAGCACAGAGATCACGCCTGGATCGGATCCACAACTTTGTAACGTTACAAAGCCAGTCCTTCCCCAGCTAAACACTCCTGATGTTACAAAACAGGACAGGAAAGGAGCAAAGTTAACGCACAAGTTTCTCCTCGCCTTTCCGCTCGCAGGCAGCCACCCCGAGCACGCACCCACGGGCAGGCACGCTGCCACAGCCATTACCTTGCTTCTAGCTTGCTCTATAAACTCCAGAGGAGCTTTCCCGAACTGAAACGCAGCTCCAAACCAAGGGATCCAGCTCCTGATGCAAGGAGGGGAGCTCGGGTTCCTCAGCTGAAACAAAACAGCCTTGACAACAAGAAGTCCCAGGATTGCTGCCAAGAGCAGAGCAAGAGCCATTTTGCCTCTTCGCTGCTGCCGCAGCAGCTGCTCCGCCTGCCGCAGCACCCGGCACGGCCGCGCTGGCCGGAATTACCCGAGGCAATGAACAGGACCTCTCTTTCCATCTGACCACTGCCATGGAGACAAGATGTCAAAGCACCAAGCAGCCCAGAGGACAAGCCCTTGTTTTGGAAAAGGCAGAGCCAATTCTCCTCTGCTCTGGGATGAGGACCAACTCTACTGCTTGCAAAACTGAGATGTTGCTGTGATAAATCCTTGAACTTTGTACCTGTTGCTGGAAGGATACCAAAGCAGCCAGGGCCACAGCCAGGGGTGCTGTGACAAAGCAGTGCGTGACTTTCTCTAGTTAAAAAAAAAAGATATTTTTTTGGCAATATCAGGATTACAAAGCAGAGAGGCTGTGATTTGCAGACATTTAGCTTTCAGCAAGGCAGACGGCAAGAAACTCTTGTGGGCATCACCTGAAGCAGTAAGCCTTATGAAAGGTATCTCTCACCTGTCTTAGATCACCTCATTAAAGGCTAGAAGTGTCTCCAGTGTCTGAGGAGCAGAGAAAGGGTTTGGAGGTTGAACTGAAAATTCAAAGCCTACTGGTGGTCCCTATAATATCACAGCAATATCAGAAGACAAGATTTCAGAGGGGTTGGACTGGTTTCTTTGTGTGTGCAGAAGTGGCACACCAAAATTATCTGCGGAATTTGTTAAGTATAAAAAACCCTAGTAAGTGCTCTCACAGCCTAAACCCACATGCCCTCAGCAAGTTTGAAGACAATACAAAACTAGAAGGAGTAGGTAGACCAGATGAGTGTACTGCCATTCAGAGGAACCTCAACAGGCTGGAGAAAAGGGCCAACAGGGACCTTATCAAGTTCAGACAAGTCCTGTTCCAGGTGAGGAACAGCCCCATGCACCAGTCCAGGCTGGGGACCACCTGGGTGGAAAGCAGCTTTGCAGATCTGGGGGTCCTGGTGGACACCAAGTTGAAGACGAGTCAGAAATGTGCCTTTGCATTCAACAGCACCCTGGGCTGCATTAGGAAAAGTATTGCCTGCAGGACAAGGGAGATGATCCTCCCCCTCTGCTCAGTGCTGGAGAGATCCATCTGGAGAGCTGGGTCCAGCTTCAGACTCCCCAGGGCAAGAGACACATGGACAGACTGGAGTGAGCACAGTGAAGTGCCAAGAAGTTCATAAAGGGGCTGGAGCACGTCATTTGAGGAGACGCTGAGAGAACTAGGACCATTCAGCCTGGAGAAGAGAAGGTTCAGGCTCATGTTTACCCATGTCCTTCCTTTCAAACCCCAGATCCTACCTAGTTCTGTCCCATTCTCTTCATATCTGCGCTCAAAAATCTTAGCAGAATAAAACCACACTGGTGTCTGTGTAAGAGGGGACCTGGACTGTGCTTGAACTTGTCCTTGTGTATTTTTATAATATTTCAATAAAAGTTTAATTCCCTTCCTATACAGAAATAGGTGCACAGACAGGAACCGTTGTACCTGTGCAGACAGGCAGTACAGTAAGAGTAGCACAGCAGAAATACACCTGATAGTAGGAAGTTAAGAGCTGTGAAAAACACATCCATGGCCTTCGTTAAGCATTCATGCTGAAATATATTGAGATGTTACCTATGTTGGTCATAGGTGCAGAAGAACAAGCCCAGATATGTCAACTGTGACAAGTGGGATGTGGATCTCCATTTTGCAATGGAAGAAACAGATAAATCACTTTTAACTGTGATATTACTACACTTCTGTGTTTAACTATCACAGATCTTTGTATGTTTATTTCCTGGTTTTATTTTATCCATTAAATTCTTTCTTTTCCTACAAAGAGGTAAAGTGATAAGAGAGTTAAAGGCCTTTTAATATTGAAGCATATTTTCATTATACGCACAGCCTGAGTAATGAGTTTACAGTAATCTAGGTATACAGGTGAGACGAGCCCTCAACCCTGTGAAGGCATTCGTTAAAGGCTTTTGTGATTGTTTTAGATATTTTATTTTTTTTTTAGCTTCTGCTTCTGGGGCACGATTTGGTGAAGGACATGAAACTCTACTGAAAGGCCCTACTGTGAGGAGGACACAACCAGTGCGATGGTCACTAACAAGCTTTTCCTCAGACTAGGTCCTAGTCCTGGGCAGGTAATAGTTAATGGTCTTTCCAGTGTAAACTGATGCAGTCATCACTGATGGAAGCAGGTGAGGGGACCGGGGCAGCACACAGCCCTCCCAGCCCCTGCTGCTGTGTTTCCATCACATCTGAAGTCCATACTCCCTCCCTGCATATGCAGCCTTTGATCAAACTGGCTTTGGACAGAAGCCAGAAAATGCTGTCTCACTGAAAACTGAAATAAATAAATAGGAAGGGTCCTCTCTGCTGGAACCGTTTCCCTCAGGATTTGGGGATAAATAAACTCCAGCTGTTTGCGGGACCTCCATGAGCACTGGCCCTTCGCTGCTCCATGAATCACAGAGATACCCACGCAAGTGTCCATCTCCAGGTCAGGCTTATTTCAAATATCCTGTGAGAAGAGAAAATTCTTCTTCACTGCCATCCCCAAATCAGTCTGGTTTAAAAAAAGAACTTATTTCCCCAGACTAAAAATGACCATAGGATGCTGCAATGTTATGGGGTTTATTTTAAGGAGGGATCTAGTTGTTGTTTTCCACCCCCTAAAGCATGGTTATAGAGAAGACAGAGACTGTCCCTAGAGATGTACATCTAAGGGATGAGAGGCAATGGACAAAAGGTGCAACGTGGGAAATTCTGACGGAATACAAGGAAAAAATGTTCACGAAGTGGGTAAGCACCGGAGCAGGCTGTGATTGAGAAATCCCCATCCTTGGAGGTTTTCAGAAAATGACCAAACAAGACCACGGACAACCAGATGTAGCTCTGAAGCTATCCCTGCTCTGAGCAGAGGATGGTACTAGATGACCTCTAGAGGTCCTCTCCAACCTGTATTATGAATCCATGATATACAGGCTGATAGCCAGTGGCACAAATTGACCCAAGCCTGGAGAAAAGCTATGGAGGGAGGTACAAAAATGCCAACAGCAGATTGCATAAATTATCTACAATAAGGCTCTGAACCACTCGTACCCTCAGTGCAGCCAGGCGTGTTTGCATTCAATTGCAATATGCCTCCTCCCCATTTTAATCAGAGGTTTGTCAGTAGTTTATGGCTGCATGAATTCTAATCCAAAGAAGGATCCAATTTAACATTTATCAATGACTGGTGACCGACGAGATAAATTCATCTGACTTTAGCTGAATATTTCACCTGCAATGCTCCTTTCATTTGTCTGAATTGTTGTGACCAGGACCGCACACCAAAATGTGAGGCAGTCAGACAGGGGTGTGGGGAGGTACGCTGGGATAAGTTTCTGTGACCTAAAAAATCCTCAGATCCTCAGCATGAGGATTAGTGATTAATGGCTAATGATTAACTTTGTGATTCAGCTGAGCCTTAATGATAAATGAAAAGCTTCTCTTTAACAGCACATGGCTTACCCTTTTTTGTCATGATGAGAACCTAAATATGCCTGCCTTAATTTAAGAGAAATTAGGACTGGCACACAATTCACAGGCCTTCAGCATGCAGCCAGGACAAGCTTTAAACTTTTCACGTACGGGGCTTTGCGCAGAGATGGGTTTGTGCCTGCCCAGGTTTGCATGCTCCTTGCTCAGACTGCACTGCTCTGTGCCTAATCCCCAGGAGACGTGAATTGCTACAAGAGCTCCAGCTCGGCATGGAGCTGTTGCTGCTGCAGCGTTCGTTAAACCAGATCTGGATCAATTCATCCGTCTCGGATGCCTGTGCAGCTGTTTGACACGGGGACGCGGTTTGGGGTTCCCGAGGCGCTGCTGTCAATGACATAAAGCAAACAGACCCCCACATGTGTTCTCATAATCTTGAGGTCTCAGTAATATATTTTTTTTAATGTAGATAATGGGCAAAATCGTGCGTGTGACTGCACCTGCACTGCCGGTTTCCTGGCAGAGGGTAGTGTTGGTGACAGACTACATTTCCCAGGAGCCTGTTGCACCGGAGTCTCTTATGTCACCGCACAAGGACCTTGCAGCTCTGCAGGAGGCACTTGAGCTGCTGCGGTTCCTGGTGCTGGCGCTGGAGAAACATGACCTTCAGCAATTTATCTCCAAAACGACCCAGAACGGAGCTGAGCTAGGGTCTGCTTTTGCTCCAGACCCTCGCAGGGTGGCTGGTTAGCCTTCTTTCATGTTAGACACTAGATGTCACCTGCAGAAGAAGAGAAGAGTTTGCCTCTGCCAGAGAGATGGCCCCGAGCCAGCAAATTCGCTCTGTCAGCCTGTGCAGCGGCTGTGGCAGAACTAGGTACAACTCACCGTGATCTTCCGAGAGGGAAGGGGGTCAAAATTTACTTACAGGGGGCAGGGGAAACTTCAGTCCCTGGACACCTCATTCCTCGGTGTTTGTTCCGGCTTTTTTTGCTCCAGCAAATCTGTTTGTTTCACTCTGCTCGTTGTGACTTTTCAATAATTTAAGCCTTGCAAGTGTTTTATGCCACCTGACTGTGGCTGGAGGGAGGGGTTTTTCAGGTCAAAATCTTTGCCTCTGAGACCAATTTAAGCTTTGTGCTTGCTGGAAGAAAACTAAAGAGGCAGGAGGATCTGTTGCCTAAGTTAGTAGCAAGGGGCTGCCTTCTTCAAGAATTTGCTTTTCATAGGTAATGAAGGTTAATCAAAGAAATTGAATCTTACATATCTGGTTACTGTGGAGATGTCTGTAAAAATGGAGTAAACTGCTTGCTGAAATGCGGCAAAGCAGCAGCCAGGCATCTGTGCAGCACTTCTTTGTGATCAGAAACTTATTTGGAATATTTCTCATCATATTACATATAATTTCTACAAGCTCTTACAGGCTAATCTGTTGCATTGCTCTAACGATTTGTAACTTCTTGATCTTTGCTAATCCTTAAACATGACTATGAAATTTAATGCACAGATAATCTGCTGAGGCTTTGAGCATTCCCTTAGTACCTCCGAGTCCTGCTCTGGAAGGACCGTGTCGCGTGGTGTGTCGCTGAGGTATCGAACCAAAGACAACCCCAGCTCCTGGGCACTCGCCGCCTGGGTCAGGCTGGGGAGGTCCCTCACCCAGTGAGACACTCCTGGCCTGGAATTGAAATTAGGGGCAGCAAATATGTACCCATACTGTTTCAGGACCAGTCCTGGAAAGCTGAGGTGGAGGTGGACCACCTTCCCCGGCCACCAGTTATTTCAGTGAGAGAAATAACAGGCTGAACATGATTTGTGCATCTGCATCAGAAAAGCAGCGTGTTTTAGGGTGGCTTGTAGGATAGATTCAAGCATTGGAACAGGCTACCCAGAGAGGCGGTGGAGTCACCATCCCTGGAGGTGTTCAAAAAATGTGTAGATGTGGCACTTCAGGACATGGTTTAGTAGGCATGGTGGTGTTGGGTTGACGGTTGGACTCGATGATCTTAGAGGCCTTTTCCAACATTAATGATTCTATGATTCTATAGATGCTCACATGCATGTATATCTGCATTATGATGGCCACTGTGGGGTTGTTCCTGACTGTAACGTGTGGTGCCACTGTGCTGGGCAGAATTGGAGAGACCACACGCTCAATAAGAGATTTGACTGATCTTTATTTAGGGGAGTAACTGGAACAGGATTTTCAATCCAGAGTCTCTTGAAAAGTACATGTAATGCATAACAAATCTGCAAAAAAAAAAAAGGGAGAAAGACTTGGTGTTTGACGGGAATGTATTTTGGTTACTCATGCCCAGAGCCGCTTTTAAAAGGTCTGGACATTAATCTCTTGTTCTCCACAAATCGCCTGCAGCCCTGTTGGGTACGGTCCCTGCTGCCTGCTGGTGCTTGCACGGTCCCCTTGGCTGCCTGGCCGGGGGCTTTGTGGCACAGATGTTACCAGCATGGTAGGTCTCCCCGCAGCTGCGCTCCAAGTCACATTTGTTCCCTGCTCTTTCTCTTTAGTGACATTTCCCCTGGATCTCACAAAAACTCGACTGCAGGTCCAAGGTGAAGCTGCCATTCATCGCAATGGAGCTGCCGCCGGCCAGGCAGTCCCTTACCGTGGCATGCTGCGCACCGCGGCGGGCATCGTGCGAGAGGAGGGCTTACGAAAGCTCTGGCAGGGAGCCACACCGGCTGTCTACCGCCACATAGGTGATTAGCTGCTTGGGATGGGACAAGTTTGGTATGGCCTTCTGTGGCCAACCACCTTTGGGAGTGACCACGCTATGTCTTCTTGTACTTTAAATATATCTGAGAGGACTTCCTCAGTCTACCCTGCAATCCCACTTCGAAATATACGGGATTCTGGCTCAATATTGTCTTTCCCTCTCTGCCCATTCATTCACAGCCTTATTCTGGCTTCTGGGAAAATAAAATATAATTTCCCTGCCATCTTTGCAGGAAGGTCTTCAGTGCAAGCAGGCACTCAGAGTCCTTACAGCAATAAATATCTTTTATTTGAGGGAAGTGGGGATGGGCTGGGAAAAAAAGATAAGATTGCAAGCGCTAGGATGAAGAAATGCATTGGCTGTTTGGCCACAGGTAACAACTTTCTGTGTTTTACTTGGAAATCCTGTGACAGCAACAAACCTCAAAAGCACTTGTGGGAGGTTTTGTGCTGGGCACCAGCTGAGAGGGAAGCAATGTGGTCGCGTCTCCTTAGCACTTGGGTGTAAGCCGTGCTGCCTCTCTGGCTCAGCCAGAGAGATTCTCTGATGCTAAAAAGTTCTGTCTCTAGTATGGCTACCAGGCAGCCCCCTCGCTCTCCCCAGTTTGATCACAAATGTGAGAGCAGTGACCAGCTCACTCAGGTGAGCTCTGGAGCGGTTTACAACCAATCTCTTGACCTCTCTATCACGGGGTGACCTCCAGAAATTGCAGACCCAAAAATCGTCTCCTGCTTTTGTTTTCCACAGTGTACTCTGGCGTTCGGATGGTTGCGTATGAACATCTCCGTGACTCCGTCCTTGGCAGGGCTGAGGATGAAAGCTTTCCTTTCTGGTAATGTTGCATATTTATGCTTTTGCCTGTTTGGGGATTGTCCTTACTGTAGGAGTCCTGCAGCCCTAAAAGCTGTTTTTTCCTCATGGCTCGCCTACCCTAAAGAAGGTAAATATAAAGTAGGGGTTTAAGCACTGATAAGGACTTTCTGATTTTAGTTTCAGGGCAGTATCTTTTCATTAAGCTGGGAACAGGACTAAGGAATATTGAAGTAAGTTTCTCAAAGGTTTAACTAGGACCATGATTACTCTAATACAGATACTCTACTAAAGAGGTGGAGAAACACAATAAACCACATCGACAGGAGCAGCTGTCCTTGGCTGGCAGGAATTAGCCGGGGTGAAAGTGGAGGCAGGGCAGCTTTATCAGGACTCAAGGTCTGGGATGTAGCGGCAGCACTTTCATTTCTGCATGGGCCGGGGGACGTCGGGAAGTGCAGGCAAGTCGTGGCTGACCATACAGCTGTGTCTGACGGCTGCTGGAGAAGCTGTGAGCAATTGCACAAACCCAACACCAGCATGAGTAACCATGACTAACTACAGCTGCCTGCGTAATGCAAACCAGAGGTTCAGCTGAGCCACGCTGCACTGTACCCTCCTCGGCTCCGAGGTCACCCAGGAGCTCGATGAGCTCCACGCGGGGTGAGGACACATTTCCAAAGGTATGATGGATGTGTCAAATACCCTCTGGAGCTTTGCAGAAAAGAAGTGAGGGGTGGTACATAGATTTCCAGCTGCTGGAGGGACGGGTCCTGCTATGTGTTGTACAGCAGCAGTATGTACAACGCTTTGCTGTACTGCCTGGGTAAGAAATTATTATGCCATTGGGTTATTAATGGGGAGCATAAGAATAGGCAGGTTTGCTGATTCTGGTGGAGTATTTTAGCCCAAGAGATGGAAATTTCCTGGCTACTGAAGAGGCATATTGTGAAGGAAAAGACTATTTTGTTCCTGTGTGTATGGCAGATGTCAACCTAAGTTGACATGTGCATCCTTCCTGAGGAGACAAGTGATCCCTATAAACAGCAAACCCAAAGTCTTTGTTTTGCAAGTTCAACTAAGCAATAGTGGAATCTCTCAGTCCCTTTTTTGACAATGCAAGCAGTATATAGCCACAGAACTAACTCTGCCTGTGGGGAATGAAGCAGATTTTTCTGTAAGTTTTGCAAAATTTGGTACTTTCTAATTGTCAAATACTTATGGTTAAAATGTCTGCCATGTACTTTTATAATCACACACAATATCATAGCCAATCAAGTACTGTACTCCAAAATAAAATCTTGGGACCAAAATGTAACTGTTTTTAAGATGAGATTTATAAAATCTAATAGAGATAAAATACTTGTTATGCCTGATGCTACGGGAAGGGGCAACTAGGGATAATACTGAAATGTCTGGTTCTACTAAAATAAATAGAACCAGAAAATTAACACAACTCATCTAGTAGTAATGGGAGATAAAGAAAAGTTTTATCTATCAGCCATCAGTTTAGAGTTTCAGATTGGCATTCAGCTACTGTAATAAATGGAGCACCATCCCTTACTTCTGTACCTTGCCATCCTGCCTTTAAACCTTAAGCAAGGAGCATAATGTAACCTGCAGAGGAAGCAGAGCACCTTGGTGATGTATAATAACTTGATTTTTTTGCAGATTAGTTTTAACTCTTTCTTAAAATTGACAGAAATATTACTGGCTACCTTAACTACTTCCAGCTGCCACAATTATTACCTTAACTTTGGCTGTTAATATAAGGAATAACCATTTACACTTGTTTCACTTGGGTCCTGCTGCTGAACTCTCCAGCTGGAGCACTGCGATTTGTAAAGATTTTCAGTGTATTCTGGAGCACATTTTCTTTCCCTGTTTGGCAGGAAAGCTGTAGTTGGAGGCATGTCTGCAGGTGCCATCGGACAGTTTTTTGCCAGCCCAACTGATCTGGTGAAGGTGCAGATGCAGATGGAAGGAAAAAGGAAGTTGGAAGGAAAGCCGTTACGGTCAGTTCCTCTCGAAGCTGGCACTTTTTTTCCTCTTCACAATTACTCTTTGGCCAAGGGTGTGGTTCTCTCTGTTTTCTGCCACCCCCTCTCCCCAGTTGCTCTGAGCCCTTTTGGGGGAAGAGCAGTGCCTGGGAGGCATTTGATGGCTCTGGGCAGCAGAGAGGGTGGGGGATCCGAGACTTCCTCCTTATCCCATTTATACTTGCCTTCCTTATTCTGATGTATTGGTCCCAGAGACCACAAGCCCTCGCCCATCCTACACGTGCAGCATATCCATGCCAGTGCTCTGCAGGGGGGAGGGAAGGATGCTTTCTGAGGAAGGGAAGCTGGAAGAAAGGATGGGGAAAATGGCTCGTGCAGGATGCACAGGCGCAGGGAAGGGCTGGGTCACCTGCAGACAGCGGGGCTTGAAACCCTCCTGCAGATACTGGGACATGCTGCTCTTTGCATCCAAAACGGCTGGCAACCTTTGGTGTCTTGTACATTTAGTACTGCAACCCAGTTGTAGGACCAAAGGGTTGTCTGTTGTTAGCAACCAGATTGCTGCTTAGCAGGGCAACCAGTATGTTTGGTTGTGGTGGGCTGACCCTGGCTGAGGGCCAG